GATTTTCTCCTACGTTGTCCCAGAATTCTTCCCCCCGGGGCGTTCCCTTCTACTGCACGCCCTCCCCCCACCCCCTGTACATGTTCTTTACGCTGGGTTTGTGACTGTTTTCTCCTTCTTCCACCGTGCCCTCAGTGAGCAGCGAGCCGTCCCCTGAGATGATGATGCTGCCGTCTGCTAGCGCCGTGCCCGTCACCGCGATGCTCTCCCCCTGACTGCCTGGCCGCTGCTCCACCACCACCGTCTGCTGGCCGTCCAGGACAGGTACCTGGCAAACACACGACCACACAGGTTACAAACACACGACCACACAGGTTACAAACACACAGGTTACAAACACACGACCACACAGGTTACAAACACACAGGTTACAAACACACGACCACACAGGTAAAAAAAAAAAAAAAAAAAAGAAAAAAAAAAGAAAAAAAATTCACAGCATGCCACTCCGAGAAAAAACCCCAAAAGGAAGGGAGAGAAGCAAGTCTGTGCCATGTTCAACAGTTCTGTCACAAGTCATTCTGTCACATGTCATTCTGTCACAAGTCATTCTGTCACAAGTCATTCTGTCACAAGACATTCTGTCACATGTCATTCTGTCACAAGTCATTCTGTCACAAGTCATTCTGTCACAAGACATTCTGTCACAAGACATTCTGTCACAAGTTAATTCTGTCACAAGACATTCTGTCACGTGTCATTCTGTCACGTGTCATTCTGTCACGTGTCATTCTGTCACGTGTCATTCTGTCACGTGTCATTCTGTCACAAGTCATTCTGTCACAAGACATTCTGTCACAAGTCATTCTGTGACAAGTCATTCTGTCACAAGACATTCTGTGACAAGTCATTCTGTGACAAGTCATTCTGTCATAAGTCATTCTGTCACGTGTCATTCTGTCACAAGTCATTCTGTCACAAGTCATTCTGTCACGTGTCATTCTGTCACAAGTCAATATGATCACACTTTTAGTTTTGCAACAATTTGGTCAACGAAGTGCAGAAGATTAGAGGTGTTTCGAGAGAGTAACAAACATAAAAGGAGGAGAGATGAGGACGATAGATGTTTGATAGGAAAGAAGGAGGAGAGATAAGAACGATAGATGTTTGATAGGAAAGAAGGGGGAGAGATAAGGATAGATGTTTGATGGGAAAGAAAGAGGTGAGATAAGGACGATAGATGTTGGATGGGACAGACAGAGGAGAGATAAGGACCATAGATGTTTGATGGGAAAGAAGGAGGAGAGATAAGGACGATAGATGTTTGATGGGACAGAAAGAGAGATAAGGACGATAGATGTTGGATGGGAAAGAAAGAGGAGAGATAAGGATGATAGATGTTTGATGGGAAAGAAAGAGGAGAGATAAGGACAATAGATGTTGGATGGGAAAGAAAGAGGAGAGATAAGGACGATAGATGTTTGATGGGAAAGAAAGAGGAGAGATAAGGACGATAGATGTTGGATGGGAAAGAAAGAGGAGAGATAAGGACGATAGATGTTTGATGGGAAAGAAAGAGGAGAGATAAGGACGATAGATGTTGGATGGGAAAGAACAGGAACTGACCTCTGCTGTGACCTGTTCCTCTATGATGTTGTCAATGAGCCCCGCCTGCTCGGCCAAGGCCTGTAGACCTTCGATGGCGTCGACAGAGTGATGTTGTACCACCGTCTGATGTTGCACTACCGTCTGGTCCCCTGCCCCCTGCGATTCCGGGGCGCCCCGTGTGTCAATCACCAGATTACTCGGGTCCACGATACTCTCCGTCCCCCCCTGGACACGGGTCAAGTCTTCTATCTTGATCATGTTGGCCACGCCCGCAAACTCCTCGCCTACGACCTGTGGACAAACAGGGGAGGATAAAAACGTGTGTCACGACGTCGTGGAATCAGGCGCTCGTCAGTTTTTGGACATGTGGAGTTATTGGTATCATTTGACAGCTGATTTTATTTACCTTGCTTCTAATGAAATAAATATCCATTTATCTTTCACTGAACAACCCCTCCCCCCCCCCCCTAATTTCTGAACAAAACAAGAAAAAATCAATTCTAAAAATATTATTTGACCTAACAAAAAAATAAGATTCTCAATTGTCTCACTGCTATTTTTAGACAAAGAACTGGTTGATATTCAAAAATTACAACATCTCAATTTACACAGAGCCTGACCCAAAACCAAGGGTCCACCCTCCACTTAGCACATTACACCCTCCACTTAACACATTACACCCTCCACTTAACACATTACACCCTCCACTTAGCACATTACACCCTCCACTTAGCACATTACACCCTCCACTTAGCACATTACACCCTCCACTTAGCACATTACAACCTCCACTTAGCACATTACACCCTCCACCTAGCACATTACACCCTCCACCTAGCACATTACACCCTCCACTTAGCACATTACACCCTCCACTTAGCACATTACACCCTCCACTTAGCACATTACACCCTCCACCTAGCACATTACACCCTCCACCTAGCACATTACACCCTCCACCTAGCACATTACACCCTCCACTTAGCACATTACACCCTCCACTTAGCACATTACACCCTCCACTTACCACATTACACCCTCCACTTAGCACATTACACCCTAACTCCCCCGGGATCGCCCAGGAATTCCCTTACGCGCTCCACCCTAACTCGCCCGGGCCGACCCAGCATCTTTAGAAACAAAGTCTCGCCTTGACGAGACTCTGGGGCCAAGATTTTGATTTGCATAGTTATTGCAAAATGTTTCTTCTTTTGTCTGATACCGAAACCACATTTTTTTGGCCAGTAGTTTTATTATTAAGAGACGATCAAAGTGCGGTTCCCTTTCCGACACTTCAAAGTTGTCTCGACTTGTTGAAAAGCGACACAATAGAGTTCGAAAAAGGAAATAATGATGGACTTGAGCAAAAACAACCCTCACACTGGTGTAAAACACGACGTACAGATAGGGTTAAACAACGTACAGATAGGGTTAAACAACGTACAGATAGGGTTAAACAACGTACAGATAGGGTTAAACAACGTACAGATAGGGTTAAACAACGTACAGATAGGGTTAAACAACGTACAGATAGGGTTAAACAACGTACAGATAGGGTTAAACAACGTACAGATAGGGTTAAACAACCACTGACCCTGACACTGGTGTAAAACACGACGTACAGATAGGGTTAAACAACGTACAGATAGGGTTAAACAACGTACAGATAGGGTTAAACAACGTACAGATAGGGTTAAACAACCACTGACCCTGACACTGGTGTAAAACACGACGTACAGATAGGGTTAAACAACCACTGACCCTCACACTGCTGTAAAACACGACGTACAGATAGGGTTAAACAACGTACAGATAGGGTTACGCTACAACCACTGACCCTCACACTGGTGTAAAACACGGCGTACAGATAGGGTTAAACGACGTACAGATAGGGTTACGCTACAACCACTGACCCTCACACTGGTGTAAAACACGACGTACAGATAGGGTTAAACGACGTACAGATAGGGTTACGCTACAACCACTGACCCTCACACTGCTGTAAAACACGATGTACAGATAGGGTTAAACGACGTACAGATAGGGTTACGCTACAACCACTGACCCTCACACTGGTGTAAAACACGACGTACAGATAGGGTTAAATAACCACTGACCCTGACACTGCTGTCCCGTGTGTCGACCACTAGAGGCACAGAATCGTGCTCCGTGGCTGTCCCCGGCAGACCGGTGGTTGTCGTCGCTGCGGTGGTGGTGGTCGTGGGGGCGTTCTCCTGTTTGACCACGGTCACGTCCATGTCCTGAGAGGTGTCCTCCCCCTCCCCCTCCCCCCCGGCCTGGCTGATGTCAATGTTGTGTTTTTTCCTCATGTGCTGGAAGAGGTTACGGCGGCGGGGGTTCACGTAGCGACACAGCACACACGAGTACACGTGGCTGGGCGGGGTCTGGTCTGTCAGGTTGTGTCTGAAACACACACACAAACACACTTG